CACACTTTTATACACATCCACACCAATAAATTTTGATTACAAAAAGTATGTTTTGAATTTTTAAAAATCACAGCTTCATCTGAATGTTACGAAACTTGGTGACTTTTATGGCATTCTGTATGTGAACACACAAAAAAATTGAGCTCATGATCCGAGCATGCTAAGTGGTCTTTGGTCAAAAATGACCCCCATAGGAAATGAATGGGAAATTCACAAATTTGTATTTATTTATTTATTTATTTTTTAACATTTTTTAATAACAAAATCGTTTTTGAGATTGTTTCAACTATATATTCAAATCCACCAAAAAAAAAAAAAAAAAAAAAAAAAAAATGTGTTCATAAACATCTGGGGAATTCACATGCTTCTCCATAGAGAGCTGTACATGCCATCTAGTGGTTACACCATGATTCTATGATTTTTCTCTATACTGTAACCAGATGGTGCTAATTTTCTTCAAAAAAATATTTTTTTTTCTGAAGGCCTAGACTCTATATTAAACTAAAATAGTGCATTAATAATTTTTTTAAAAAAAATTATGTATAGAGAAAAATATATATATTTTTCCATGACAAAAATAGACCATAAATATTGCATAAATATTAATAGATTCAATCAAATTGTCTCAAAATACTAAATTACAAAGAATAAATATTATAGAACAAAAATGAATTGCATTGGTTTTACTGGGATGGAGGAAATTTAATTTTTAGGTGTCCGGTCACTTTTGACCGGGAATATAACAAGTGTGACTCCGAAACAAAGAGCACCTGAGGGTTAAACGTCTTCGTTTTGGCAATATGCACTAAATGCTTTGCTTCTAGCATCTTATCATCCGATAGTGGTCGTATCTCTCTATTAGTGTTACTCGATCTTAGTGCTGCATTTGATTCTTTTGACCAGATCATTCTTTTAAATAGACTCGTAAATTATGTTGGCATTAGAAATGGAATTGCATTAGAATGGTTTAAATGCTTATCTTATGCCGATCTGATAGTTATCGGTTTGTAGCAGTAAATGAAGACAAGAGATGTCATATCGATCAAAAGTTCAGTATGGAGTGCCACAAGGCTCAGTACTAGGACCGTTGCTGTTCACTCTATACATGCTACCCTTGGGGGATATTGGGGGATAACTACTGCCCTGCTTCATTAGGAATTTGTTATGCTGTTATGCTGATGATACTCAGCTCTATATGTCTTCACGCCCTGATGAAACTTACCAATTCACAAAATTAACGGAATGCATAGCTGATATTGAAAAAACGGATGAATAGTAATTTCCTACTACTTAACTCCTGAAACTACTTAACTACTGAAAAAACTGAGGCTCTAATTATTGGACAAAAAACATCCTCACATAATAATCTAGAATACTGTAACACTCTAACGAAATATGTGTAACTCTTTTGGCGCAAGTCGACTTGAGTACGGCCAAATACCAGAAGCTAGGTATTTTAGTTGATAAAGTTTTAAATATAGATATTTTTAAATATATTTTTTAATATTTTTAAATATAGATGCACTTTTATCAGGGATGGCATTTTTTTATATATCCCCGATTGTATTCGTCTGAAAGAAGAATGTCATGTAAACCATAGGGCGAGTAAATCGAGGGCTAATTTTAATTTTTGGGTGAACTATCCCTTTAAGAAATTAAGAATTAGAGATAAATGAGTTAAAGTACAAAAGTCTAAATACAATGTTATTAAATAAAAATGCTAAAAACAAAATTAAAAATATTATACATTTTATAAATGATATGATCAACAAAATATGAATACACTAATATATTAGTACATAATACTCATATAACACTGCATGACACATTCATTCTCATTTCTCTATATTCTTCACACTCTGACAATCTATTCATAAGCAATCTGGACTAAATTAATTGGCAAGATGGCTACAATCAAAAAAATGGCAGATTGGTCCACCAAACCTCCAATTTCACACTCAAACAATGTTCTTTTTCTCTTACTTAATTGAAGCCCTGAGGCCGTGGGTCGATCTCACTCCAGCTGTCCTGACAGACCCCTTCCACTCTCTCTTCCCATCATTCCTTCCATACCATCACAGGAGGAAGCGCACATAGCAGAGGAATCATAAACCCCATCTGCCACTGACCTCTGACAATTTATGCCCTTTCATTTCATGACTCTTTCCTCAGGTCTTAAACCACAAACGTCCCACTGTGCTAACCTGATGCACTTCCATAAACCTGGAGAGAAAACTGCCAGGGTGAAAGAAAACACCATCTGGGTTTTAGCATGAGCTTCAGAACATCCAAATGAACTGCAACAATTCACTTATCAGGCTGAGTGATCACTTCTATACCACATAAAGGCCACACGATCTGTTAATGGTGCAGCAGAAGTCAAAACATAATTTACGGGGCCACTGAGTGTCATCAAAAATGTCTCTACAGTCCGATTTCCAAAAATGATAACTCTACAGTCCACTGTTCCAAAACCTAGCGAGCTGCCTTGCTGTCCCATGTGAAAAAGTACACTTTAGCATACGTTTTAGAGTACTTATTATGGAAATAAATAATACTTAAGTGTGAAATGAAAGTAATGCTTTCCGACACATGCATGTTATTTGCAATTAAATAAAAAGGCATTATAGTTTGAATTTACATTAAATGCAATTAGCCTTTTTCCAATGGCTCCACCGAGTGCCTAAAGAGGCAAATACTTTCTAAAAGTACAGGTGACCCAATGGTGTCCTAAAACTCCATCAGGTGACCCAATGGTGTGCTAAAACTCCATCAGGTGACCCAATTGTGTCCTAAAACTCCATCAGGTGACCAAATGGTGTCCTAAAACTCCATCAAGTGACCCAATGGTGTCCTAAAACTCCATCAGGTGACCCAATGGTGTCCTAAAACTCCATTAGGTGACCCAATGGTGTCCTAAAACTCCATTAGGTGACCCAATGGTGTCCTAAAACTCCATCAGGTGACCCAATGGTGTCTTAAAACTCCATCAGGTGGCCCAATGGTGTCCTAAAACTCCATCAGGTGGCCCAATGGTGTCCTAAAACTCCATCAGGCGACCCAATGGTGTCCTAAAACTCCATCAGGTGACCCAATGGGTGACCCAATGGTGTCCTAAAACTCCATCAGGTGACCCAATGGGTGACCCAATGGTGTCCTAAAACTCCATCAAGTGACCCAATGCTCCCGCTGGGTCTCCGCAACTGCCTCCAGCCAGGCCTCAGCATGGAGCCGGCCGCAGTAGGGACGCCCAGCCCACTCCAGGCGGCAAGCGACAGCGAAAGCATTCCTGAGCGAATATTGGAATATTGCAGTATGTATTATTAATGAATTACCCATGCACTTAATTTTTGTCAAATTCATATGCTCTCGTAATCAAAATATCTTTCTCCTCCCTCTTCTCTGATGGCGTGTCAACTGGCACGAGGGCGGAGCAACCTGTCACTCACACGAGATCCACCAATAGCAAACCACAACAACCCAATCAACTCCTGATGGACAAGTCCTGCCCTGTATTTTGTCTTGTTCGAGAAGCTGTTTAACTGAGATATACATCACAATAGGAAAAAATACTACAGTAACTTCAGTTTCATGCCACCTCAAATACATCAAATATCTTTCATCATGAAACATTGTTCAAATCCCCTTTGAGAGACACAGAGAGAGAGAGAGAGAGAGAGAGAGAGAGAGAGAGAGAGGGAGGAGAGGAGAAAGGTGCAGTACACATTATTTTAAAATACATAAAAAAGAATAATTAATACATGCATACATTTTTTTTTAAATGATGGGCACTAATGAGACATTCTCAACTGGACCAGGAACGTATATTCAGATAAAATGCCTAAATAAAGCCTAAATAAAATACCATAATTACCAAATGTTGTATCCTATCCACATTTATTTTAAAGCACTGCTATTCTACTGTCAATTTTTCAATTGTCATTTTAATTTTTCAAAAAGAATTTGAAGACAAACATCTCAGACAAAATTGATACTTCAAAATAACCGAGAACTCAACTGAATCTCTTTTGTGAAACATTTAGGTTCCAACATGAAATAAAACATAAATGAGATCTCTTTAATGTCTCAATTGTCTCTCCAAGACAGTTATGGGATTAGATGGAGATCGATACGAGTCTCCAGCTTCTCCCATGGTTTCAAAAATCTGAATGTTTCATATACTGCCCTCAGTCTTGTCAAGAAATCAATATCCGAGACCAAAAGTCAATATGTTTCTCAATATGAACCCTGAATGATGACAGCCGACTCATTTCTATCTATTTTTAATGGGATTTTTAAAAGACAAATCTGATAATAACAGAGCTCATACTTTAAAAAAAAAAGAGAACTGAATCTCCTCTGAGAAATAAAATTTTCCTTTAGACTCCAAGGAAAATAAAAATGAGATCTCTTAAATGTCTCAATTGTTTCTCCAAGATGGTAATGAGATTACAGTATATGGAGAGAAATATTTCTCTCATTTAATTTTGAATTCAACATCTGCAATCAAAACTCAGCATGTTTATCTCAATATGAACTCTGCATGAGAACAATGGACTCATTATATCTATTTTATAAGATTTTATAATCGACAAAGTTGATACTTCAACAGAACTCTGAGAAATACAATGCTTTAGGTTCCAACACATATGGAAATAAAATAAAACAAATAAGATCTCTTTAATGTCTCAATTATTTCTCCAAGAAAGTAATAAGATTATAAGAGAAGCAGGAGACTCAGTCTCTTGAATTGTCAAGAAATCAATGTCTACAATGAAAGTCAATATGTTAATTGCAATATAGATGGAAATCGAACAGCTGACTCATTTGAATCCGACAAAGTTGTCGAAAAGAGGAATAATTAAGAGCTCAACAATCTCCCAAGCAAGGAAAGAGAAAACCTCCTCTGGGTCAGTAGCAGTGAATGGAAAGTTCAACATCCAAAAAAAGACTAAAGCGCTGCATCCATAAGGTAAGACAGATGAAGAGGATAAAGATACCTGTGGTGATGAATCAAGCGTCCACTGAGTAAATGAGGTGCAGAAGACACGAGTCGGACCCGGCGACGAGATGCGAGACCTCCAGCTTCTGTCTGTCTCCGTGTCTCCACGTGCTGGAAGATCTGAGAGCGTCTGTGATGTTTTCCACACACCCTCTGCCCGCCGAGCCTCTGGGCTGAAGTGTGTGAGAAGGAGAGAGAGAGGATGAAAGCACTACACCTCTTTAATATGAGAGACTTCAGTCAGAGCGCTGTGAATTGCAAGGACTGCCCTTAAATAGCCTTTTCACGAACTCATACACGTTCTCTCTCTCTCTCTCTCTCTCTCTTTCCCGTCCTGTTCTTCCCTCCTACTGCTTTGAGGTGTTGAGATGCCTACACACTCAGCATATATTACCCATACTCTCTTCTCCCTGGAGCGAGAACATACGCCTATACGTACAAGTTCAACGGCGGTATAAGATTCTACAGAGACATAAAAGCAAAGAGAATATTTAATAATTCTACAATTTTAATACGGAGATGCTGTATGCACAGAAACATAAAGAGGATGGACTAAAAAAAAACTCTTAAACTTCACACTTGAAAAAATCTGAATCCGACATCACATTAGATAACAAAACATCAACTCAAGTATATTAAATTAATATTCTGAAACTCAAATAAATGAATATTATAAATTAATAAATAAATTAATATTCTGTAAATTGATCATAAGTGACCATTTATAATTAACAAATTATTTACATTTTCAATAAATGCTGCTCTTTTGAACTCTCGATTCATTTTTATTTTATTTTTTATTTTAACACTAAGCATTGTTACACTAGACAACCGATGCTGTGTGCATAGGGCATTTAGCGTAAAGCTCGTTTGCGGCCCGCGGCCCTGATTGGGCTTTTGCATAAAATCAAAACATCCAAAATAAAAAGACACGATCATCACAAGGAACAAAATAACTACAAATACTGTACAACAATGACATATTGACATACCTATAACGTAACTAATCTACAAAACACTCAACGTTCACATCAAGAGTCCTGAATAAAATGTTTCTCGAGCACCAAATCATCATATTAGACTGATTTCTGAAGGATCATGTGACACTGAAGACTGGAGTAATGATGCTGAAAATTCAGCTTTGATCATAAGAAATAAATTACACATTAACATAAATTACAATGTAATATTTCACAATACTAAAGTTTTTACTTAATTTTTAGCGGAAGAGTGAGTGAGTGAGTCAGTGAGTGAGTGAATGAGTGAGTGAGCGAGTGAGTCAGTGAATGTGTGAATGAGCCAGTGAATGAGTGAGTGAGTGAGTGAGTGAGTGAGTGAGCCAGAAAGTGAGTGAGTGAGTGAATGAGTGAGTGAAGTGAGTGAATGAATGAGTGAGTGAATGAGCCAGAAAGTAAGTGAGTGAATGAGTGAGTGAATGAATGAGCCAGAAAGTGAGTGAGTGAGTGAGTGAATGAGTGAGTGAGTCAGTAAGTGAGTGAGTGAATGAGCCAGAAAGTGAGTGAGTGAGTGAGTGAGTCAGTGAGTGAGTGAGTGAATGAGTGAGTGAATGAGTCAGTGAGTGAGTGAGTGAATGAGTGAGTGAGTGATTGAGTGAATGAGTCAGTGAGTGAGTGAATGAGAGTGAGGGATTGAGTGAGTGAGTGAGTGATTGAGTGAGTGATTAAGTGAGTGATTGAAGTGAGTGAATGAGTCAGTGAGTGAGTGAATGAGTCAGTGAGTGAGTGAATGAGTCAGTGAGTGAGTGAATGAATGAGTGAGTGAATGAGTCAGTGAGTCAGTGAGTGAGTGAATGAATGAGTGAGTGAATGAGTCAGTGAGTGAGTGAGTGAATGAGTGAGTGAGTGATTGAGTGAATGAGTCAGTGAGTGAGTGAATGAGTCAGTGAGTGAGTGAATGAGAGTGAGGGATTGAGTGAGTGAGTGAGTGATTGAGTGAGTGATTAAGTGAGTGATTGAGTGAGTGAATGAGTCAGTGAGTGAGTGAATGAGTCAGTGAATGAGTGAATGAGTCAGTGAGTGAGTGAATGAGAGTGAGGGATTGAGTGAGTGAGTGAGTGAGTGAGTGAATGAGTCAGTGAGTGAGTGAATGAGTCAGTGAGTGAGTGAATGAGTGAGTGAATGAGTCAGTGAGTGAGTGAATGAGTGAGTGAGTGAATGAGAGTGAGGGATTGAGTGAGTGAGTGAGTGAATGAGAGTGAGGGATTGAGTGAGTGAGTGAGAGATTAAGTGAGTGATTGAGTGAGTGAGTGAGTGAATGAGTGAGTGAGTGAATGAGAGTGAGGGATTGAGTGAGTGAGTGAGAGATTGAGTGAGTGATTGAGTGAATGAGTCAGTGAGTGAGTGAATGAGAGTGAGGGATTGAGTGAGTGAGTGAGTGAGTGAATGAGTGAATGAGTCAGTGAGTGAATGAGTGAGTGAATGAGTGAGTGAGTGAGTGAATGAGTGAGTGAATGAGTTTAGTGAGTGAGTGAATGAGTGAGTGAGTGAATGAGTCAGTGAGTGAGTGAATGAGAGTGAGTGATTGATTGAGTGAGTGAGTGAGTGAATAAGTGATTGAGTGAATGAGTGATTAAGTGAATGAGTCAGTGAGTAAGTGAATGAGTGAATGTATGAATGAATGAATGAATATTGTCCTAATGTTTTTAGCCATGCAGGGACAACTCAGTTACGACTACTGTAGGAATATCAGATGAGATGAGTAAACACAAAAAAAGCATGTTTCATGTTCAGAAAGCCAGATTTATTGACTGATGTAGAACTAATTATCAACCGCAGACTTGAAACACTTTCACTTCCAGCTCTAGCAGAAAGAAAGGTTGGAAATGATGTTTAACGGATTAAATCTTCAGATGTGTCCTTTTGTATATTTGTCTGAACAGCAGCCTAAGATGCCACTAAAAAGGACATTATAACTGACACACAACATCAACAACCTCTACTTTCTGGTCAATCAGCCACCTGTTTGCAATCATCACATCAACCTCTCCATTTCACTATTACAGTGTACTTACATTTCGCTTAAATGACAATCTGGGTGGAATCCCTGCCAAGAGGATATAAACTACTGTGCGATTTCTACAGAAAGTGTGCCTAACCCTAAATCTTTTCTCATTCGGAGATACCCAGAGGGCCTATGTGTGCGCCAGATATTTTGGTTATTTTGCTAAAGTGTTAACGGCATTCAAGACTCAGTCTAAATGCAAGCTGGTATTTTGATGTGCTGATTCCAGTAAAAACCATTCAGATGACACGCATGAAGTGTTTTGCTAAAAAAAAGTTTAAATGACACTTTACTTTCCACAAAAAGGACTGGAAGCTCAACTAAATAGTTAAAAAAAAATCTCTTCTACGCATTTCTCCGCTTCTCAGGCTTGTTTCCTAATCTAGTTGTCTAATAAACCTGGAATTGTATTTTCCAAATATTATCTTTTGTACGACGCTTTGTATAAAATCATCTAAATGGATGCATTTAAATGCCTTAAGAGCATTAATAAAATTGCATTATTATAATTTAACTTATGTCATGAAAGCCTCTTTTGAACCCCTTTGGTACAATAAACAGATGATTGTCAAATTATCTAAATAATCTTTTTTAATCTTTAATCGTTTTGAGGTAGCAAGAGAAATGTGTTAAAATTAGCTACATTTCATGCAACATTTATGTTATTTTTTATAAGTCGAACTAGCATATTTAATAGTTCTCTCCCTCATAAGTTTTGTGCTTTTATGCTTTAAACAAAAGTAATGGAAAATTTGTGAAAATGTTTTAATATTTGTGAGATTGTTCACCGGCCAGCATGATTTAATTACATATATTTTCTTCCATGATTCAGGACCGTTATATACAAACACTAAGTCATAAAGGCTGGATTGTGGTGTTGTTACCATTGTTTGCCGATTATGTCATGTTCACCAAATAAAACCAAATTGCCCACACCTTCATGACAACAGCATTACCCTATTTTTCCATTAAGGATAAATGTCTAATTGTAAAGTAAAGCTAAAACTATTAAAAGATATTTTCAGCATTTTCAGTAATTGAAATTAAGCTGACATTTTTAATAGATTTATTACCATACATTATATATATATATATATATATATATAGTGAAAAACATAAATAAGTGAAATAAATCAACTGAAAAAAGTTGACTAAAATAAAAGAAAATTAATACAAATTTTATTAAAGCTAATTAAACAAAAACTCAGAATTTACTTGAAAAATAAAACCTGAAATAAATAAAAATTAATGCTGAAAAAAATCTAACATTAAAAAAAATCTAACATTAATAAATGAGGTATAAATAATACTAAAATACCATTGATGTGGAAGGGAATGAGGAAGTGAATATCCTATACAACTTAAATGAAGAATACTCTTTGGGGAGTTAGGACCCACACAGATCACAGGGTTAACGCCCCCTGCTGGCCTCACTAACAACTCTTCCAGCAGCAACCTGGTTTACTAAGGAGTCTCCCATCCAGGTACTAACCAGGCTCAGCTCTGCTTAGCTTCCGTGGGGGACAGTCTTGGGCTGACATGACAAGTCAATCCACGACAACATATCCATTCTTAACCTTTCAGATCTGAAGCACTTGAACATCTGGAGATATCTTCATTTCTAAAGAAGCTAAAACAAACATGGAATTACTCCAACGAAACCACCACAGGAACACAACATGTGCTACAGAACACACACAGAACCACAATTATCTGCTGAAGTCAACATGAAGAAAAAAAGGTGACTCAATCTGCATTCATAAACTTATCAGTGCATGCTATTCTAAAGAATAAAATTGTTTTGTTTCAATAAAACATAAAAACTTGCAATTTCATTTGGAAATACATCACATTACAATTACAGATATAAAAATGCAAAAAAATTAATCCTGGAATGCAAAGAGATGTGCTTAGTTAGGTGCAGTCTAAATATTTATCAGAGTGATTCATCATGAGTGCATCAGCACAACAATACGCGTTCAGAAAGCACCCGTTGAGCCCATCTGGACACAATGGACACGGATTTCTACTGATCGTCCGGACATGGGGAGCTCCGGGGGGAACGGGACGGTTCATTGATTGGTGAGATGAGAAACTAAGCCCAATGAAATGTGCTTCAACTATGAAGTCTGGCCTGATGCCGGGATCATAT